TGGTTGCTCTTTCTTTTTTCTTCCATTACTCAAGGGCTTGGCATTCCCTCTTGTGATTGGGAGGCTTCTCTTAGTAGTATCCTGAATAGAAAATTAAAGGAATGGAATGCCAGACCTTTGTAGTTTTAGTCCAAAGCCTGATGACTGCTGTGTTTATTCAACTCCTAAAACTGGGGGCTGTCGAGAGAAATTGTTTTTTCTTCCTCTTTCTCCACAAAAGGGTTTGACACAAACTCCTCCACAGTTCTTTGATTAAGAAATTGTTACCCTGTTTGTTTTACAAGCATGTTTTTCAAACCCATCCTGCACCTCTTGCCTTTGGGGAGCCTAAAAGCCAGGATCAGAGTTAGGTAAGCTGACAGCTGAGATTTGATCTATGTGGGATCCCAGCTGCCTGGAGAGAAGAGTATCTGGGTTTTGTTTGGCACGAATTTCTAATTAGGAAGCTTGTGTTTTTTCAAACTATGGTTACTAAAAACTTAGTACTGGAAGTGTTTTTGGATAACCGGTGACAAAGTTATGAGGGCTCTGCTCAGTGATACTGAAGAAGCATGGATTATAAGCAAATCTTTTTCCTGAGACTACTCGCTGAAGCAGTTTTCTCTTTTGCTATAGTGTCAGCTGAAGCCAAAGTCCTGATATGCATTGTCTGTTGTGATGTACTATAAAACGTCCAGATCCAGGAGGTGATTGGCAATCTCTGATCCAGTGTCCCTGTTCCTGTAACAAACAGCCCAAAGGTTTCGCAGCGTGTGCAGGTAGGATGTTATTCAAGCGCCAGGGGCAGCAGTGTCCAGTAGGTTTGTAACGGGGCCCCTGTGACAGTGCAGCCAGGGAGCAGCTCGCTCTGCTACTTGCATTTGCTGCCCTTCTGCGGTCTGTGCGGTGGGTAGGTTTGCTCCGCGACCCCCCTGCTGCCGCACCGTGTGCCTCTACAGATAGCCCATAAGGACACCACCTGGATTATGACCTGTATTGTCTTGCATGGAGTGATTGGGGTTTCTTTTCACAGGCCTCTGGAAGAGGGAGAAGTGAAGCTCAGGATATGGGTAAACTGTAGGAGAGCGGCTGCGGGCTGGCCACGGTCCTGCGGGGCACCAGAGGGTGCTGTGCTCTTAGCCTACAGCAGTGACATTACTATCACTGACTGATGCGGATAAAAGATTAAAGAAGCAAAGCTTTAATATTTTACCAGATAGCAAGCTTTGCAGAATCTCCTCCTGTCCACCCAAAATTGCCTGAAATGTGTGGCAACTGAATGAAGCTTCAGCGAAATTCAAGAGAATTTCTGTGCTGTGAGGGCAGCTCAGGTGGTGCAGGGCCAAGCAGCAGGTAAGGAATGAACAGAGCTGAACAGACAAAATGAAACGGGAAATGTTACACAGAGAAAGGCAGCTCAGGAGGAAACTCTCCAAGATGAAAGTCAGCAGGAGAAAGGGGTTGGGCCGTGGCAGGTGGCCGGTGATGGCAGGCTGGGCTCGTGTCCTGGAGATCAGCGCTGTGACACGCTGGCAGCAAAACGCTCTTTGCTTGGGTGCTCTGGGAGCCAGCCTGATGTTTGACAAACCTATGGGAGACCTATCCCAAAATATCCAGAGCCTGCTAGCAATCCCTAGTCTCCTGCCAACCCCATCACAAACCTCTCGGATGGGAAAGCTCCACAGGATTCTGTGGAGAAATTGCTATCGGCGTGTGAGTGTGCAGCGTAAGCTGTGAAGATGGACAGTGTTGCATACAGTGCTTCCCTGCAGTGGGGAGTATGTAAAGAATACACGTGAGCAGCTGAGCAAAGGAAGGACTGGTTTTTACAGAAAGGAGTGGTAGCTTTAGCAAGGGCTGGTGGAATTTTTAGGGAAGCTGAGTCCTGTTCCCCTGCCATGAACATGTTCTTGGATCTTTCACAAACTGTGCCTTATTGTCTGTAGCCTCCCATCTGTGCGATAGGCGTAATAACACCGAGGCATCTTTGGAAAGAAAATGTCAGCGTCTGATTCTGTACACTGGATAGAAAAAGGGTGGGTCTGCATAGGAGCAGCCCTAAAGTCCTGTGTATCGACAGCTTCACTAAATACAGAGCAGATCTCTCTCTATAATCATTACTACAAGGTATCAACTCGGTTGTGCTTTCCTGTGCTTGGGGACAGTTTTATCTCTGACCTAAAGCCCTAATCAATAGGGGCAGAAAAGCAGTAAATTACAACAGGAGCGTTTGCAAGCTACAGCCTTAAAAAGCATCAATTCTGCATGAGAAATACCAGTTGCAGTTACTTGTGATGCTGATAACATTGAGTCCTGACCACAAGTGTGATTCTGCATGTGGTTGGATCTTTTTATTGAGGTAGCCTATCAAACTCCCACTTTCTTAGTAATTTAAAGGTAACTACTTTAAATAGTCATCTCAAGAGTTTAATTGGGCTTTGCTCTAGTGATTTATAGAGGCACTTGTGCCCATTTCTCTCTGAGTGGTGTTTTAAAAGTAATTCAAGATGTGAAAGGCGCCTGGAGCAGCATCTGTGGTCAATGGGAGGGTCTAGGTGCTGGTTCAATGTGGTTTACCTGAAAGAGAATTCTGTTCAGTAACTTTTACTTTTCAGCTCAGTCTCTTCTAAGAGGTTGCACTTTTTGAAGTCAGCCGTGTGTTTGTGCAGACAGTGCCTGCTGCTAGAAGTGATAATACCTGATGCTTGGAGTTACTGCCAGGCATGGGGATGCAGAAAGGCTCTGGCTGGTACTTTTTCCTGCAGTGACCAAGGTCACTGTGGATCTCGTGTGCCATGCTGGGGGTGCTGTGAAGGAAAAGGGTCACAAGGAGATAACAAGTTGCACCTCTGGGGAGGAACAGACAGGCCAAGTGACCAACAAGAGTGCTCTTCCACTTCTGCAAAGGCCGGCATCCGAGGAGGACTCTGTCCGATCTCCTGCCTTTGATCCTGATCCCGAGTTCCCGAATCCAGACCCTGTGCCAGTTCCCCTCTGCCGCTCAGCCCAGGGCTGCCTCGGTGCCGGTGGCTCTGCAGCACCTGGGGGGATTGTTGCTGGGGGGGAGCTGGGTTTAATATTGGATTTGTATATAGTTCATCATTTTCATTATTTCCCCATTAGTGCTATTATTGTTTAATAAAAGCTAGTTTAGTTTTCTTTTCCAATCTAGGAGTCTCTCTGCCTTATTCCCTTTCCCTTCCCCTTCCTGTCTGGGGAGGGAGAGAAGTTCAAGAACGTCTATCAGCGCTTGGTGCCTGGCCCAGCCCCAACCCTGGACACCAGAAACAACGCGTATCGCCTAATACGAGAGAGGGGTGTTCAGAAGTATAACCCTTCCTGGCATTTCCGAACAGCACTTCACAGAGCTGCTGAGGTTGGAAGGCACCTCTGGAAATGATCTAGTCAATGCCCCTGCTCAGGCAGGGTCAGGGCAGGTTGCCCAGTGCTGTCTCTAGTTTGGTTTTGAATATCTCCACAGATGGAGACTCCCCAACCTTTCAGGGCACCGGTTCCAGTGTCTGACCACCCTCACAATAAAAAAAAGAAGAGTTTTCTTGTGTTCAGATGGTTTTCAAGTTGTGCCTGTAGCCTGTTTTTGTGGCAGTGGGCACCACTGCGAACAGGCTGGCTCCGTCTTTGTTCCCTCCCAGCAGTTCAGCATTTCTACGTACTCACTGAGGAAGTTGATAATATTGCCCTCGATATTTCAGTGCAAGTATCCTGGGTGGATAGGCTATTTCAGAAGGAGATGTTTGTACCCTATCCTGGACGAAAGATATTATGAATTCAGTTTATGAAGTATGACCTTAAATTGAGGTCACTGGCCTCTTTGACCTAGGAATGAGCTTTCCAAAGGTGTTTGTGTTTGTACGCTAATCCTCAGGACTCACGCATCCCCAGATACAATCTGTCTCTTTTGCAAAATCTTCCCTCCTAACGCATAGGTGTGGCCCCAGCACTAGAGCCCCACTTCTTTCTGCTTACACAACGGACGCACGGAGGGAGGATGGAGTTAAGCCTGCAGCTGGCAGAGAGCTCGTCTTTCTGGGTGTGGGCTTGGGGATGTCAGAAGAACTTGGATGCCTTCTTGCAAAATCATCTCTGCTGTCCCACGGGAGACAGGCAGATTGATTGTCAAATACTTTAACCTCCTGAAAAGTAGGAAAATCTGTTCTGTTTTAACTACCTGAAAATTTGATCCAGAGCTTGCCCTTTTTTGTGGCCCAGAAGACATGACCGGCACTAGAAAGCAGCTGGTTTGGTCATTAAAACGGGAAGGAAAAAAAGTCACTTTTAAGACCATGTTCCTTGTTACTGCAGTAGGTTATACTCCATGGTTAAAAGATAATGAGTCATATTTAAATAACATTAACATGCTTGCTCTAAAGGCTGAGAAAGCATCCAGAAACAGCACAAGGCGGTGCCCCTTCTCTTTGGGCTCCCCCCCTTGCTGCTCTTCTGCTCCCTGTTTTGCAGATGAAAGGGAGAACAGTCCTCAGCAGTCAGCCAGGACCCTGCCCTGACCCTGCCTTTCTACAGGCCGTTGATCACCTTGATGTAGGTTCATGCGAAGCGACAAAATAAGTGATTTTGTCAGGGTTTATTATCTGAAGGGCTTTTCAAGCAGAAGCTGTTGCCATCAGGATCAGGTGTGATTTCCCCCTTTTGCTGGAATATACAGCAAATGCACAAAGAGGCTCTCGGCTTTTTTTAGCTCACAAAAGCAAGAGAGTCCTTTGAAAGATCCTCCGTTTGCCCAATCATCGCTTTCCCTTACGCTGCACAGCATTACAATATTCTGACGGTGTAAATCCTCGCGTTCGCCTGCCTCCTCTTCCCTTCGGTCGCTCTCCCTCCCCCCTCCCGAGGCTGCTGCCATCGGATCGGTGATGATACGTGATCTCCTGGATACAATCACACACACACACACACACACAAGTACCAGGCACTGCTGCTCAGCTGAGCAAAATGTCTTTCTCCTAGAAGTGGTGCTCATCACAGCTCGCAGATCCTTGACGATGTTGCCATGCTTTCCTTTCTGCCTCCTGCCTTTTTCTGTCTTTGCCTGCCTGCTTTTCTTACCCGCGGGTCATCTTTGCCCGGCTGTCTGTAGCTGTATGGACTACCACACCATAGACTGCCGGGATCAAGGACTCCCAAGTGTTCCTAATCCGTTTCCATTGGATGTGCGGAAACTTCTTATAGCCGATAACAACATTCAGGCGATACCAGCCGATTTCTTTATATTTTATGGAGATCTGGTTTATTTGGACTTCAGGAATAACTCCCTGACCTCTTTAGAAGAGGGCACTTTTAGCAGCTCTACCAAACTGGTGTACTTAGACTTAAGCTACAATAATTTAACACAGCTTGATGCTGGGATATTCAAATCAGCAGAAAAACTGATAAAATTGAGCCTTGGAAACAATAACCTGGTGGATGTGGACGAGGCTGCTTTTGAGAACCTGGAACAGCTCCAAGTGTTAGAACTGAATGACAATAACTTACAGAGCCTAAACGTGGCAGCCCTAGAAGCACTTCCCTCCCTGCGGACTATACGCTTAGAGGGCAACCCTTGGGTCTGTGACTGTGACTTTGCCAATCTTTTCAGCTGGATACAGGACAATGCATCTAAGCTCCAGAAAGGTAAAGCTCGGTGGCTCCCAGTGCAGTCCGTCCGTTTCTCTGTGTCTGTGTGTCTGGGAGGGAAGGAGGGTTCTCGGTCAGGCTGTCTGGGTGCTGTCTGCAGTGACCCAGGCTGCATTTTGGTCAAGCTGTAATTGCATGCTTTCAGCAGCCGAGTCCATGGAAATTGTGTTGGCTTCTTGTTTAGCAGTGAGTCCTTCTGCCAGTTAAGAAATAAAATTTTAAAATCAAGCCCTAATAATTTTGATTTATAGGCTAAACTTACATAGGCAGTGAAAGAGCCTTTTCACATTCGGTCAACACAGAGCTGGTTCCCTTCCAGACTTCATTTTGCTCTCTGGGAAATGTATTTTCTACACTAAGCCCTTTTGAGCAGCTGAATATTCTGTGCCAGCTCCTTAGGAAATGCGATTTTTCTCTCATTTTACTGAAGAGCTATAAAGCTGCTACAGAAGAGTTAAATCCTCATTTTAGGCAACTGTGACTGTCAGCCCTTCCCTGGAAGTATTTTGTCATGATAGTCTGTGTCTGAAACTCTCATCAGTAGCTTCTTTTTGGCTCCTTCAATTAAAATAGAACTGCTTCCAATAACAGGAGTAAACCAAAATAGCTCTGTAACACCCTGAAATGCAGGACATATAATTCTGGTATTGGGGCCAGTAATTTTCAGAAAAGCATGAGGGGGGGAAAAAAGTATTAAGGCTGCCGTGGATAGGGAATCCAGACTCTTGCTCCATATTTCCCACTGGACCAGAAAGCCTCTCTTAATCCAGCTTTAGCAGGAGATCATCTCACAATTCCCGTCTCCCGACAAGCACTGGAGCATAAACTCATGCACTGAGCTGCCCAGCTGCTCGCAGAAGGCAAACTGCTTGGAGCATAAAAACTTTGTCAGGGCGAAGGAGGGCAGGCGAGTATTTCCTGACACGAAATTGCTGGTGTCTGGGCTGTGTCTGAGGGGGAATGTCTGTGCAGAAGGTGGTGAGAGCTAAAAGGCTGGTAGAGAAGAGCTCAGGACAACGGATTGAGGTCAGGTAACCATTCCTCCGAATTCAAGCAAAAAAAGGGAGGAAACCACAGTGGGCCTACAAATTTTTCTCTCCTCTCTTGGTCCAGAGTGGTTAGTCAGTTAGTCGAGTTCTTCCTGCGCTCACAATGCTGGGTAGCGTGTTTTTAATGTGCTCATCTAGGTTGCCCTAAATACTCTTAGCTGTGAACCAGCTGTTTTACGGAAGAAGTCATCTGAGGAAAACGTGGTGTGGTTGGGTTTTTTTGCCAGCTGCCTCAGCGAAAATTTCATCTTGGTTCTTTCTAAACCAAACCTGAGCCTGTTCTCACACCTGCTTTCGTGCTTCAGCTAATTGCTCTATCTGCATTTGCCCATCTCTCGTGCTCAGCATCAGTTCACTTTTCCCATGCTTTCCGTCCACCTTAATGAACTTCTTGCTCTTTATCCAGACTGAGTCTGTTCAGTCTGAGAGTCCGTTCCAGCCCGTCTTCACCAGGGAGGTGAGACCCTGGCAGAGGTCACTGAGGGAAGCTGAGGAAGCTGCCCCCTCCCTGGAAATGATGAAGGCCAGGTCAGAGCAACCTGCTCTGGGGGAAGGTGCCCCTGCCCATGGCAGGGGGTTGGAATAGAAGGTCTTTAAGGTCCCTTCCAACCCAAACTGTTCTTTTTTCTCTTTTCTCTTCCACTCTCTCAGTGTTTTAAAGCAGATCTGAACTTAATCTGGAAATCTCAAGTGACTGAGCTTTCCCATAGTATGGCCGGTACTGAGTTTTGCAAGCTCAGAGATGCTTTCACACAGCGTTTTCTCTCATCCACAGCTGTGTTTCAGCCAAATAGCTAATAAATTACAAACTCATCTGGATCTTCCAACCTTTCGGTTAGATTTTATTTGTGAAGACAAGGAGGGAAGGAGCAAATATTCAAATGGTTGGTTTTATCAGAGCTGTCCACCCAACATGGCCTAAGCAACTCGTTTGCATTTGTTCTCTCGAGCAAGTCCTCCGACATCTTCGCAGCCAGTCGTATCAGTGAGATCTAGTGCACGTATGCAGAAAAGCGTGCAAAGTCAGCGTTCTGATTGCTGCTTGTGAGCTGCTGCTGCAAAAATCCTGGCTGTCTCCTTCAATAAACCAGCAAAACGTTATTTGCAGAGGTGGGTGCAAAACTAAACCCAAAAAGGAAAGACTATTTTGATGACATTTTAAAGCCATATGGCCACCATTGTGTGGCTTTCAAAACAACTTCTGGAAAGTCAGTGCACAACTAATTCTCAGAATTAAGGTTTGATTGCATCTTATATCCAGACTTCAGTCTTCAATGATTTTCAACATTATTCCCATTAGAAACTGATCACTTTAGCATCACTTGTCTGCTTATACTTGTCCAAAGCCAAGTTCACCTGACCTTTCCTGGGAGGGATGAGAAGAGCAACTCACGGAAAGATTCACCTCCCTGGCTCCCTCGGGATACTGCTGTAAGGCTGGACACAGAAGTGTTCCTGCAGCAAACACACCAAGATGAGCAGGGCAGCAGGCATGATGCCTGGAAGTCCAGCGAAAGAAAAAGACAGGGGTACATTTCCAGGGCCCAAGAAAAGAGCTTCGGTATCTGGGCTGTGTGCCTTTCCGTGGTGATCCCGCAGCGTTTGCATTGCACGGCCTGTGCGGGTGAGGGAGGGCAGGAAGGAAAAAGGAGTTGACTGGTGGTTTTTTTTGCTTGGTTTTCTTCAAGAATAAACTGTGATTAGGGGTCTAGGACAGGTCCCTGTCAGACTGAGGTTCCCCAGCCTTTAAACGGCAGAATTTGTAACCTGGGTTTGCGGGTAGGGGCAGCAGTGGGGAAAGGTGAAGGACAGTAAACTCCCTGGTCCTTTCATGAGGAGTACAAAGCCCTGCAAAGAAAGGGAAGGCTCTAGACACTCTGTGTGTGTCTTAGGCTGACTTGGGGGGCTTCAGAACACGATAGACAAGAAAGGATGTGCCGAAGCCGAAGAGCAGCAGGCGCCAGCTGCACTGGCTGACCTAGGATCTGGGGGTGCGAGTGTCACTGCGGCACGGCGGTCCTTCAGGATTCAGAAGCAGGTGCTAAATGGCTGGGAGAAGGGTGTGACTGAGAGATTGAGGCTGTGGGTGTTCCTTGTGGGTCCTCACTTCGAATGATGCTTGAAGTAGTTTAATGTGCCCTGGCTGCATGTCGGAGTCATCACAACCAGTGTTAACTATTTACTAAGCCCAGCCCCTGCCCCGCCTTTTCAGCTTAGCACTGCAGTAAAACGCCTGTTAGTCAAAGCTGCCCTTGGGGTTTTTTTGCAAAAGAAATACTAAGTTGATTTAAAAATTGGAATTTTGTCAATGTGGCCTAAAATCTCAATAACTGACCCTGAAACTCTCTCCCTCTGTAGTTAAGGCCTCTGGAGAGCTCGGTGATCTGAACAAAAGCCTTACTTGAACTCATTAGTTTTGCAAAAGCCAGGTCCATTTTCTTTCTGGCACGCTACCAGAAATAGCTTGTAAAGTTATAACTTCTGCCGACCTGGCTGACTGGCTGACTGCAAAGCCTCTTTGCAGCTGAGCTGCCTTTGCACATCTGACTTGTCGCTTCACGGAAACAGCTGGGACTTGCATCATTTTACAGATCCCCGCGTTTCTTCATCTAACCTAAATTTCTAAATAATGGCTTAATTGGCAGTGAGTGAATACTCTCGCAGGCTGGATTTGCAGGCAGGCTTCTGAAAGAAACTGCGCTGAAAGTTTTGCAATTAAACTCAGCACTTTGCCTGCAATGAAACTTGGCACTTGAAAGCAGCAAACGTTTTTATACCCATAAAGAGACATTAAAAGCAGCATTTTCATCGTACTGCAGAATGAAACTGCATTTTCCTCCCTCTGATTTGGTTCTTGATTAATTAAAAACAAATTAATGTTTATAGTGCAAAGGAACCGTGAAGACCAGTGGAGTGGTGATAAGCAGAGAATATAACCATTGTTCTTTTTCCTGGGGATGACAGAGCGTTCACTATGCGTCAGAATGGTTAAATTATAAAACTTGCCACGATTTTGTGTAGAAGGAAGTAGAGAAGTTGTTGTAAGATTTCTCTCCCTTCAAAGACAGGTGTAAATATTTCATGGAAGGTTTTACTCCACAGGGGGCATGCAAACTCTCGTAACAAAAAATACCTTCAAAGAACCAAGGTCAAAGTTGGTCTTAAACGTATTATTCAGAGAATTCAAGGAAGTCATGTATCTGAAGTACATGCTATTATCTTCTGTCTTCTGCCTGCCTGTATTTGATCCATCTTCTTGAATTTTACAAAAAGTGATTGACAAGGCTGGAGTTCTCTACAGCGAGAACTGAAGGAAGCAGAGGAGGAGGAAGAGAGTTTGGGCTCTGGCAGAAGAAGTTAAGAAAAATATTAATAAAGTCAAGAGATGTACTGGACAAAGGACAGGATGGTTATAGATTAAGTAATTTTGGTGCCTGGTGTTTCAAAATTTTAAATTTAGTGAAGCCTAAGGAAATTTGACAGTAATTTTTTTTGAGATCAGGAGTCACCTTTGAGATTTCTTGCATTTTCTGCTTCAATGAGAGCTGGCAATCCTACAAAAATCCAGTAATTCTCAGATTTGGAAGGGCTTTGGAGCCTGCTGGCAAAAATTGGAGCAGCAGAGCTTTACTGTACAGGGTGTTTCCTGAGGTTTTCCTGAGGCAGAGAGACTCTGGGGGAGTGGAGGGACCCATCTGGAGAGGCGCTAAGGAGACCTGGGCGTTGCTGGGGCCATGGTGACCCCACACACGCCCTTAATAATGAAAAAAATCAGGGAGGTTTTTTATTATTAAGTGCAAAATGAACAAAAAGCCTGTGTGCTCAAGCCTGCCTGTGGTGTAGCAGGGTGTGGGAAGGGCAGAGAGCGTGGGGAGGGACTGAAGCTCTGCCAGGTGACGGGTGGGTCTCCCGGGTGGGCATCGCCTGCTGGGTGGGAGCCCAGCCGTG